ATGCTTATGCCTCACGTTCAGGAAAGAGAACAAATGAAGCTTAGGAACCTGGGACCTGGAAAAATCTTCATTCTGTTTTGATTCACTTCTTAAACTGTAAATTCCAAGGACTAGCTTCAGGCATGGCTGGATCCAGGTAGTCTAAAACTGAACTTTCACCAGAAAACTATGTGCCTTGGCTATGCTTCTCTTTGTGTTGTTGTCCCCAAAGAAAGAAAAAGAATGCAAGGCTGGCAGAAACCACAGCTGCCCACAACACAGTCTTTAATTAATGATAGCTATTATTGTGAAATCATGGCAGAAAGACTAAGCCAACATTTACACACACTTGGAAGAGTGGGGAGGGCTTTGTGAGATGTAGTAATGTCTCAGTAAATGTTTACGAAAAAAAAATTACAAGGGAATAAATAGGAGCATACACTCAAGTGTAATCTTGTTCTATGGGAAAAGAAAAAGAGTCTGAGGGAACGAGGGCATAATTTTATTGAGTCTAGGAAATGAGCCAGGAAACAAAGGCTAGGGATAAATGGCACATTTCTGAGAGGAGTTCCTTCCTTAGAGACAGGGCTAAGGGCTGCTTAATTAACACGTAAAACTACTATGGAGGAAGGGTCCATGTAAGGAACTGTCCAAGGCTTGCCAATGACACAAAACTCTGGGAGTAGGGATGGGACAGAAGCTCGGAGGTTCTCACGAGCCTGAGGAGGTGGACAAAGAAGTGGAGGCTGAAAGACTCCCTTGGCTGGCCAGTGGTTAAGACTCTGTGCTTCCACAGCAGGGGGCACAGGTTCGATCCTTGATCAGGGAAGTAAGATCCCAGGTGCCACGCAGTGTAGCCAAAAATAAAATAATTAAAAAAGAAACACAGTGTTGTAGGCATGAAACTTATATTAGGTTATAAATCAATGTCACCTCAATAAAAATAAAATTTAAAAAACTGGTGGCTGATCTTTAACGAGGCGAAGGCAAAAAGTGACTCTATGGGTCAGCTTCCAAAGTGCCCATGACATTCAGGAACTCAAGCTACTGCTCGTGGCTAAGGAAAGGACCTGGAATTTAAATGTAAACTCTTTCTTGAGAACTTCAGCACAAGATGGCTCTAGACAGGAACACAGATAAAATACTAGCTGATCGTTTGAGGACCAAAAGGCCCACAAAAGAGCGATGTGTTGGCTAACCAGAAACATGTGCATTTCCGGTCCATTTTCATTGAGCATAGAGAAGGTCTTCAGTTCAGTTCAGTCGCTCAGTCGTGTCCAACTCTTTGCGACCGCATGGGCTGCAGTACGCCAGGCCTCCCTGTCCATCACCAACTCCTGGAACTTACTCAAACTCATGTCCATTGAGTCAGTGATGCCATCCTACCATCTCATCCTCTGTTGTCCCCTTCTCCTCCTACCTTCAATCTTTCCCAGCATTAGGGTCTTTTCAAATGAGTCAGTTCTTCACATCAGGTGGCCAAAATATTGTAGGCTTTCTCAGAGAAGGTCAGAGAAATGGCAATTAAAATTTCTGAAGGGCTGGTACAGAGTTTGGATGAGAGGGATAGGAATTTTTATGGTCTAAAATGCCAAGATGAAGAAAGAGCAGTCACTGAAATACATAGCACATGTTCACATTTTGTCCTTACTATTCATTTTGTCCTTACTATTCAAATGTGGAAATTCTGGGGAGGAAACTTGACTAACATGAAATTTAATCAAAGAAAGTCCTGAGACTGTTTCTCCTCTGTGTGGTGGAGAAAATGGTCCTTAAATCACTATTGTGGGGACTTCCCTGGTGGTCCAGTAGCTAAGACTCTGCACTCCCAATAGAGGGGGCCCAAGTTCAATCTCCGGTTAGGGAACTAGATCCCATGTGCCACAACTAAAGTTCCTGAGTGCTACAACTAAGACTCAGCACGGCCAAACAAGTAAATAAATATTTTTAAAAAATCACTATTGTGATGAGGACTGAATGAGATCAATTCAATCAGTGAGGTGACAGTGCCCAGGACAGAGGAGGTACAGGTAAAATGAATGCAATCTAGAGTCCCCATGGGATTCTCAATGACATGGTATTGTCCGTAGCACTTGGGAGCTGGAATCAGGAGAGGCAAGTGTGAGTCTGGACTCTACTCCAACCTTCATTTTCTCCATCTCTAAAAGGCAAAAGCAATACCTACCTCACGGGCTATTATGACAATGAAATCTGATCCTGCATTCCTTCAACAAGCATGTATTGAATGCTGACTATTTGTCAGGCAGCAGGTTAGGTGCTGGGTGGGGATACAGTAATGTATAAGAAAAACTCCTGTCTTCATGGAGCTCAGCATTTAGTGGGAGAGAAGGACAGAGGATACTTACAAACTGAACGGCAATTACCTTAAGAGGGGCAGCACTGTGACAGTGCCAAGAGGTTTGGAAAAATGCAGTGCACCAAACTAACATGATTTAACACTAAACTTGTATGAGTCTCCTTATCACGGCTGGAATAAATCACCACCACCTTAGCGGTGTAAAACACAAATGCATTATCTTACAGTTTTGGAGGTCAGAAGTCAGAGTCAGATTTTACAGGCTGCATTCAAAACCAAGGCTATGTTCCTTCTAAAATATATGGGATAATCTGTTCTGTGCCTCTTCCAGCTTCCAGCCTCCCTGACTCCTGGATGCATCACTCTGACTTCTGCTCCCACTGTCACATCACTTTCTTCATCTCTGACTCTCTTGTCTCCTTTTTAAAAGGGCCTCTGTGATTATATTGGTTCTACCCAGATAACCCAGGATAACCTCCCCACCACAAATTCCTTAATTTATAAGGAATATCTGTGAAGTCCCTAATGCCAAGGACAGGAACATATTCAGGAACAGGTTCTGGGAACTGAGATGTGAATATCTTCGGAGGGCCATTATTCAGAGCACTTCTGGGATATAGAATCGGAAATGGGCTACCCTTATAAACCGTAAGCAGACTGGGTCCCCTTTGAACACCAGTTTGCTGACGGTATTCTATTAAGTCTTGGGGGAGAGGTGCAGAGTGGGTATTGGAAGGCTGATAGCAGGTTCCCCCTCAGAATACAGTGTCACCAGGTAGATCCCTGCAGAGTCATAAGAGAAATATCAGGCCATGGGGGAGGGCACTGGATGCTGCCATTCAGTTCTGAGACCTCAGGCAAGGATACTGCTTCTCTAAGCCCCAAACTCCACCGAAGTCAATGGGGATTTTGGAATGAGGGTAATGAAAATACCATCCATGAAATCACCCAAGACAGTGCCTGATCCTCAGTAAATGTCAAGTTTGGAATACCTCCTGAACTCATCCTTCACTTTCTCTTTCCCCTTTGCTGTGCCCACTGCCTCCATTCAGGTCTCTCAGAAACCATCACTGCTTGCCAATCATGCCACATGCCTCAGCCTGGCAGTGGTTAGGAGCAACAGTTTTAAATCCCAGCAAACGAGCCCCTATTTGAAATGAAATCTGGAGCAAGTCTCTTAAGCTCTCTAAGCTTCAATTTCCTCCTCCGTACAATGGGGATAAAACCATGTATGGAACCAGGCTGTCCTGAGGATTTAGTGAGATGATGAATGAGAAGCGCTTAGCACAGTGTCAGGCACACACAGAAGAAAAGTACTGTTGTTCTCAAGAGGCCTGACCTTCTTTAAACCACACTGGACAACCCACTTCTCCTTGAACCACTCCTTGAACTTGTATACCTGCGGGGCATTGTTTATAAACATTTCCTCTGCCTCCAATATTCTCTGCGTATCCTCGTAGACTACCTCCTCACGCCTCAGTTCTCCTCTGCTTCTCAGTAACTTCTTCAGCCTTTTCTACTCTTAGAAGTTGTGGCTATTTACGCAGGCCTCTGTGGATGGCAAAGAGGGCAGGACTGAGCACACATGCATGCACGCTTTCTTCATACGGGATGCGAGTTCCTCGAGGAAAGGTGTTTTTCTGCGTAGTCCACTGGAAAAGTCCACCTCTCCTTGCCTGGCTTCACTTTCCTTATCTGAAATGTGTCCCTCGGACTGGAATGGCAGAAAGGGCCCTTTCAGCTCCGAGCTCTCAAACGGACAGAACTTAGGTAGTGGGGACCTGGTAGATTACCTAGTCCACCCCCATCCTTTTCCAGAAGGGGAAACTGAGGGCCTGCCAGGGCCTTCGCTTCCTGCGTTTTTCTCTCCGGCCTCTCGGGCATGGCTCCCCTGAAGGCATGCAGCTCGGGTTTACAAACGAGGCAAGGGGAGACTCTCGGACGTCTTCAGGGCTCGGGGCGCCGGAAACACGTGTGTGCTCACCTACGTGTACACACGTGAGCACACCTACAGCAGCAGGGGGCGCTCAGGCCGGCAGGGGGCAGCACAGACTCGGTTTGCAAATACCCGGCGCAGCCTCGAGGGAGGAGGGCGTGCTGCAGTCCCGGCGGCGGCGGCGGCGGCGGCGGCGGCGGCGGCAGCGGCGGCTGGAGGTGCAGCCTCCCAGGTGGGAGGCGGGGGCTGCGGGCGCAGGAAAAGGCGCCTGGGGAGCGGGTACTCGGCGGGGCCTCCTCGGGCCCGGGCGCGGCGAGTGGGAGCGAGCGCGCCAGGAGCACGCAGGCGCTCTGCTCCGGCTGGCCCTCGGCCGGCTCGCGGCGCGGGAGCAGCCGGCAGCCCGCCCCCGCGCCCCCCGCAGCCCCCCGGGCCGCCAGCGGCCGGCCGTCGGGAGCGGCCCCTCGGCCGCGAGCGCAGGCCGCCGGCCCGGCAGAGCGCGTGGCGGCGGAGGCGGCGGCGGGACGGCGGCCGGGCCGCCCCGAGCGCGCCCTCCCGCCCGCGGCCACTCGCAGTCGGCGCTGGCCGGGCCGGCGCGCCCCGCAGGCATCCGGAGCGCGGCCTCGGCCTCGGCGGGAGCGAGCCCCGGGCTGCAGCCGGCGGGAGGAGGCGCGGGCGGGCGCTGGCACTGACGGCGTCGCGGGGCACTCCCGGGCGGCGGCGCAGCGGCAGCGGCGCAGGGGGCGGAGGCAGGGGACGCCCCCAGCCAGGATGCTGCGGTTTCTGCGCCGGACCTTTGGCCGCCGCTCCATGCAGCGCTACGCGCGGGGCGCGGCAGGGCGCGGGGCCGCCGGGCTGGGGGACGAGCGCGACGGGGGCCCGCGGGGGGGCCCGGCCGCCGCTGTCTCCACGCTGCCCGCCGCGCCCGGGGGCAGCGTGTTCCCGGCCGGCGGCGGGCCCCTGCTCACGGGCGGCGCGGCCGTGCACATCTCTGCCGCCGGAGCCTCCAAGGCCACCCTGTACTGCCGCGTCTTCCTGCTCGACGGTACCGAAGTGAGCGTGGACCTGCCGGTGAGTGACGGAGCCGGTCCGGGCCGCTGGCACCCCGGGGCTCGCGGGGCAGTTCCCTTCGCCCCTCGGGGCGCTCCCCTTGTACCTCTCCGGGATCCCCTCCCCCTTCTGCGCGCACTCCTAGTCCTGGTTCCCTCTCGGGCCACCCCATCCTGGTCTCTTCCGGGGGGCCCCATCCCTGGCCCGCGCCCCCTTAAGTCCTAAGTTCCCGCCCCCTGGGGGTGACTGTCGTTCCCCTTCGGTCCCTGGGGTTCCTGCAGCGGCCTTCGTGGTGCTGGGCTGTGGTTCAGAGAATGTTAGAACAAGGCGGGGCTGCCCCGGGGTAGCCTGCCTGCCCCCACTGACTCGCCACCAGGCCGTGGTGGGAAGGCAGGGGAGGGAAGCCTCCTCGCCTGCTGGTCGGCAGGTGCCCCAAGTTTGGGAGGGAGTCAGGGGAGTGTTTCTGCTCTCTCCAGTCCCCATCTGGGCGCTCCCCACCCCCTCATCCCATCCTAAACAGCCCCTCTGGCCCGCTGCCTCACAGGGGGTTGGGCGACTTGGGAGCTAACTCGAGAACCGACTCTCGCTGATCGGGTCAACTTTGCAGCGGCGGAGCCCCCTTCCGGGCCGCTGGGAGGCGGCCCCCGGGTGTCTCCGGGCCTGGGGGGCCAGACTTTCCCCGGGGTCTATGCGTGGAGCCGCGGAGGCACCCCAGGGCGGCTGCGCCGCGGCCTCAGCCCGGGCCACCCGCCCACAGGTGGTTGCTCCCCGCCCCCTGCAGCGGAGAGCTCGGCTGGCGCTGCTGTCCCCGCCAGGGCGTCCGGCCACCAGCGGGTCTTTCTAGTCCAAGGGGCCAGATCTGATCAGATCGAATCCGCCCATTAATGGGGCGCCTACTGTGCACCCGGCGTTGCGGCAGACGTTGCCTTTGGGAATCTTTGGGTGTGACTGAGGACACAGAGACGGTTGAGCTTTAGATGAATGTTACAGATCGTCCCGAGGGTTTCAAGGGGGGGCGGGGGGTGCGCAATAACATACCCGGACTTCTAAAGAAAGCATTCAGACCTTCTCGGGTGGGGGAAATTGGACATCAGGAGAGAACTGGCTGGGAACCTGTAAGGGTTTTAGATGGAAAAATCAGAGCCCGCCTGGCCTGCGGTTTAATGTTTCCTTGTGTTAGGTTTAATTTTGAGACCGTTTCAGTTTATGGCGATTTTATTTTTGTGGTTCCTGGTGCTCTCCATAGGATATCATTTTGTTATGATAATACCCTTCGGGGGCCTTTTTATTCACGGAAAAGGAGCCAACATTCCAATGCTCAGAGCAGTTGTCTTTAAAATAGTATTAAAATGTTCCTGTTTTTCCGAGACCGGGCTCTCCAGCTTTTTATTCAGCTGGGAGAGGAGGCTTGAAAAAGGGGAGGGGGGCGGGCCGAGCAGAGTGGAGGAGAGGTGAGTGGGTTGCTTCTGGAGCGGGCAGCTGGTGTGTGGAGAGGATGTGGCGCGTTCTGCATCTCAGATCTGCGAAAGGAATGCTCTGGTTGGGAACTTTGACAACGCTCACTGCTGATGATTTTCTTGTCTGTTCCCCCAAGATGATTCGCTTATAAAATGTATTGCTTCTGTCAGGTTTCTGCGACAGGCTTAAGTGGTGTTTCGGAGATGAAAAATGCAAACCCAGTAAAAATGCATGCGTGGTGAATAGACCCAAACAGGTACCCAGATGAACAGGTTGGGATGCGAAGGCTGACTTGCCTCAGCTGGTGGAGCCCCGGCCCAGCGTGGGGGAGGCAGGTTTTGCATCCTAAAGGTTTCTTCACTTTATTAAAGGCTACTTGACAGAAGAATTCACTCCGTTTTCTTACAATGGCAGATTCCCCCCCCCCTTTTTATATTTATTTCCTTGTTTTTGGTTACATTGGGTCTTCCCTGCTGCTTGGGTTTTTATCTAGCTGCAGAGAGAGCAGCGGGGGCAGGGGCCCCTCATCACTTGCAGCGTGCCTGCTTCTCCTTGCCTTGGCTTCTCTTGTTGCGGAGCACAGGCTCTAGGCGCAAGGGCTTCAGTAGTTGTGACATAGGGGTTTAGTTGCTCGGCGGCATGTGGGATCTTCCCAGACCAGGGATTGAACCTGTGTTCCTTGCATTGGCAGGCGGAGTCTTATCCACTGTATCACCAGGGAAGTCCAATGGGATGCCTTAGGATGTTATTTAGTGAACATCTAATTTTATTTATATAGACATGCATATATGTATATACGCCACCCAAAGACAGGTCTAGAGCAAATGCTGGCTTTGGTCATCTGTGCTCTCGCTTGGGGAAGAAAGATGGAGAAGAATCACTAGTGAACACAGCTCATTGACTGAAAGATTTATTCGGTGTTAAAACTGCATCACGCAGTCTCCTACAGTCATCTTCAGAGTTTCAGGGCCAGTAATTAACTCTCAGAGTTACAGCGTGAGCTCCAAGCAGCCCAGTCTCCATGAAGCTGTAGCTCGTGTGTTCCTTCTCAGCCCCATTTCACCACGCTCACTTTTTATGCTGTCCTTTTTTGGGATTTAGTCCCACCGGTCATTATTCTCGTCTCCTGCATTCCTGAATTTTTACCGCTTCTTGGGCCCTGGGATGGCTTTGTGGCCTGGCACACCAGATTTACCTTTGACCGCCATCTCCATAAGCTGGATTTTCTGTCTCCAGTCACTTGCTCAGGCGCAAAGCACCCTTGCCAGGCTAACTATGGCTCTTTTGTAATTAAAACTCTCTGGTGGTGGTAGCGTCATGCATTCTTCGCTCAGCATACTAACCGTGCTTAAGCATTGTCATAAGCTGTTTTATTAGCCCTAGTCAGGATGCCTGTGTTCCAGAAGTGCCTCAAACACAAGGCCCTCAGTGTGATTGTGCTGGGGCACCTTGGTTTTCAGCTGGGCTGTGGACCCAAAGGTGAATGAGAGGTGGCCTTGAGGCCCTTGAGAAATACAGGTAGCCATGTGTCTTTTTACTGTAAGTGATGCTGAGCTCACAGGATCACCAGATAGGGCACTGGGGATGGGTGAATCGGGAGGACTTCCTGGAGACTTTGATGCTTGTGGCTCTAGGATCTCAAATCCAGTGCCCCGTATGCATTTTTAGACTCTCTGTTGTTTCAGGGAGTCAGCCACTTGGCCATGCCACGGCCCGCTGTTATATATAACAAAGGAAGAAGCAGATGTAATTGTCTTCTCCAGTGATGCTCCCCTGATGGAGCCAGGAACCCCTCTCCCCAGGTGGTGGGCCTTGTTCTCTGGCACACCTGTGTGTTCTTAACCTTTACTGTGCATCAGGATCTTTGGGGGGAAAAAAATCCATCTATAATGCGCAATCTGGAGTGGGCTTCCTGTGCCAATCCAGCTCCCAGAATACAGACCTGAGTGCCCCCGCAGAGCCACTCCTCTTCAGAAACCTGGGTGCTGGCTCGGAAGGTGCGTCCCGCTCCGAGGCCCCCCCTGCCAGGCCCAGCCCTCAGGTGTGGTCTGGCCAGAGCAGGGCAGGACTCCCCCGGCCTGCCCCAGACTCTTCCCTTCTGTTAATGCCGCTGAAGATCCCATTAGTCTGTTTGGCAGCAGCACCCGCTGTTGACTCATATTAGCTCTCTGTTGACTAAATCCCTGGCATCGCTTTTGCTCGTGCGGCTGCTGCTCAGCCCCGTCTCCCCCCTCCCCTGCATGCGCAGGCTTCCAGCAGTTCTGTGTGGAGAGCCGGGAGGGGGTGTGGCTGGCTGGTTAGCACTCCCTCCCGGGCCCTGCAGGGCATGCCTCCTCGGCCAGTAGGGGGTTTGGCGAAGTTGCTCTCACTGTCTCTGAGCTCCGTGTGGACTTGGGTAGTGCAGGGCAAGCGTGGAGGGTTTCGGGGTGGGAAGGTGCACGTTTGAGTTGTGCAGTCTGGCTGTGCCATCCTTGAACCTCGATTTTCTGGTCTTTGAAATGGGAGGATTATGAAAAGGCCTTAGGAAGCAGCAGGGTGCTGAAGGGTTGCTGGTAGGCTGTCATCTTACACACATCTCTGTGCCTCCTCTTTGGCCTGTGAAAAGGATTGGGAAATTTTCTAGAAATGAACATTTAAAAAAAAAAGGGTGGGAATCCCTGGTGGTCCAGTGGTTAGAACTCTGTGCTTTCACTGTCAAGGGCCTGGGTTTGATCCCTGGTCAGGGAACTAAGAGCCCATAAGCTGCGTGGCTTGGCAAAAAAAAAAAAAAAAAATGCCAGGAAGGCTAAAGGTTGCTTGGCTCTCCCTTATTAGAAATTGGAAGCTGGGTGTAGTGAGAGATGCTTTTTAAAAGTTTCACTTTGAATGAGAAAAGAGTGCTACCCCCACCCCCACCCCACTCCCTGGTGGCTCAGATGGTAATGAATCCATCTACAGTGCAGGAGACCCAGGTTCAATCCCTGGGTCCGGAAGATCTCCTGGAGAAGGGAAGGGCAGCCCACTCTAGTGTCCCTGCCTGGAGAATCCCATGGACAGAGGAGCATGGTGGGCTATAGCCCATGGGGTTGCAAAGAGTCAGACTGAGCTACTAACATTTTCACTTTTCAACCCCTGACTTACACCCCCGAATAAAAAGAAAAATGCTGGTTCTTAGAACTGCAGGACTGGAACCTCAGACCCAACAGAACATACATGATACAACATGAAGATCATATGTCTAGAAGGGACCCTAGAAAACACATATGCACCCATCATATGTATGGGACACAGAGGCCTGGGGATATAAATTGACTCCCTTTGTCACTCAGTGAGGACGTGGCAGGTGCATCTTTGGGAACCGGTCTCGCCTTTGGAGATGTGTAGGATCAGCAGTAAGGTGGCTGGCCCGAGTCCTAACGCAGCATCATGGCAGGGGGCCAGATATGTTCTCGGTATTTGCCTAAACAATGGGGAACTCCAGCAAAAGGGTTCTCTAACTTCAGTGTACACAAAGAGTGCATCTGGGATTTTCTTGTCTCTCGTTCAGCTAGCTGTGCAGAGCCCACCTCCAGAATTTCTGATTA